ACTATCGTCTGTACAGTATGTAAATTAGGTACCATAAGTCTAATACAGTACTGTAATTTTATACATTTCTTGTGAAAGAAACATTTCTTATTCAACGGCCATAAAAATTATTTATATTAATGATGTCTCCAAAGTTCAACGAATTTTTCGCAGAAAAATAATTTATCAGAAATCGCGGCCGCCGTTTGGTGCGCTGCTCCGCGACGAAAACAAGCTTAAGCAATAGCGACGTCGAACGGTGCACACTTGGTAAGTAATCCTACAATTTTTTGTATATAGCATAGTTTATATGGATTATTCCCAAAAAATTATACGTGTTTTGGAAATGTTGAGTCGAATTAGTCTAAAATTGATTAATTTTATGGAAGAAAACCTTTCAAACAGCCGTAGTCCGTAAATTTGACACGTGTCGGGCTGTGATTGGCTCATGTATTTAAGGATTCCTACAACGTGAAATTCTTATAAAGTGGAACGTATCTTCGCGTTATGGGGGTCTACTGTATAATGCATCTTCCCACACGTAGGATATTACAACTATAGGCTCATTAAATAAATAGAAGTATGCATTACGAAAACCGAGTGAATAAAATGTAGCCTGTACTTTATGAACATCTAGATTTGAATTTAAACTACCGCTGAGAATGATGGTTAAAAAAACTGAGAAAACTACTTCTTGGGAAACTGTCTGGGACTTCTCGTGCCTTCGATTTCTCCTTAGTGACCTGCAGCAAATACTGGAATTTATCCTCCGCTAAGATACTTTTATTTTCAACAATTCCTTTAAAATGACTGCGAAATTTCAGCCACCCTCTAGGGTTACCATCAAATTTCAGATATTCTAACTTTGGCAAGCGATACTGTGATTTAGGACTGCTGAGACTCTTTGGCGAAGCCTCTGACACTTCCAATATCTACATCCTTAGTTAGCATCTTCACCTGATTTCCGTCAGCATATATCTTCTTCGGTAGTCGGAAACAGAATCGGCTTCAGAGCAATCTCTCTCACTACCAGTGGATCTAACAATACCTATACAGTTTGTCTCGTCTACAATGACGACAGTTTGTCGTCATTGTAAACGAGACGACCCCACAAAAGATCCACCACAGTTTTATCAATCCCGGCCATAAGTTCACTGAACGTTTTCGTCAAGTTTTTTTGAACCCCTATTCGCTGTATCTAAATTTTTTTAACTTATATCATTATCATATCGGCTGCCCGGATGTTGTAACACCACGTTACGAGGTTCAATTAGACACGGCGTAAACAAAACATAAATTTTATATACCTTGGAAATATACAGTCAGATGATAGCGAATACAAGTTCTCAGAGACCTTTCGCCATAAAAAAACCCCAGAACACAGCTTAAAAAAACGCGGGCTTCTATCTTTCCCGCTAGGGGCGCCCCGACATTAATAAAACGCGCTAACAATATAATTT